TTTACCCAAGTGTGGGTGTTAACTATTTGCCCATAGCTGGGACCCTAACAGGTGCTACCACCCCAAGTCAGGCTGGACCTGGGAACACCAGCAATTAAGAGGTGGTTCCACGCTCTTCAAATTCTCCTGATCAGAGGCCTTGCTGCTGAACGTAGTTTATCGTCTTACCTAGGACGCGAATGTAGTTTATCGTCATACCCAGGGGTGGGCTACTTTGTGGAACACACTCCTATCCCTGAAAACCACAAATTTAAGCTCTTCAAGTCTTGGGTCAATCGGTAGCTATGCTCATAATCTTTACTTCCAAATTCTCTTATACCCATACCACACACCTCGTTCCATATAACTCTGCATTGAGTGTCTATTAGAACTTGAATTTAGCAAATGCAATTCACTTTGTATCTCTTGGACAATGAAATGCTGAAATTAAAATTTAGTGAATAGGATTGGCGACTATTAACTGAGTTATCTCTCCAAAGTGGAATGAGGAATAAGAACAATTTATCTTCGTGAATTGAATAATGGGAAAAAGGCCGAAGTTTAGGACGGTCTTAACAACCTAGGATGAGTATTGCTGGTTTGAACAGCAAATCATATAATATTAAGAAACGCAAAGCCAGCTTACATAGATTTTTCTCTAATCATTTCACTCCAAGAAAGGTAATAAAACCACTAAGACGGAATGGGTTACTAAGTGTCAGAGAATATGAGAAGAAAAACGTTATGAAGGAGGGGGGTGACAATAAAAGAACAAAAATTAAGAATCTATATTTCTGAGATGAGGTATTATGTACATTATTTACATTATTCGGACTATTGCCCTCATCTTTGTCGCCATATTTATTACAACGTTTCGGCCGTTGTACGCTTCTGCCTTCTTCAGGTTGTTGGAAATTAAGAAGGCAGAAGAAAACGATTGACATTGCAATTTTTGAAGATCAGAGTTGACTAGGAAGCCAGAAGAGAGTTCCACAAGAGAGTTCCACAAGAGAGAAGTACGATAGTTCTATGCTAGTAGAAACTACTAGCATAGAACTTACGGTTAAATCTAATCATTACACCTTTAAAAGGATGAGAGCTTGCAGCCAATCTATTCAGTTGAGTGTCATACGGGAAACATGTTTGGGCGATCATATCTCTTTCGATACATGACTGACTAGACAGATTTTTTTCAGGCTGTAGATTGACATTTCATTCTACCGTAGACTAGTTGCCAACCAAGGCTAAAGAACCCAGTTTGTCCTGGTATTCCTCCCATACTGAGTGAGAAGAGGTGGATTCATACATTTCCAAAGTTTATTTGGGCGTAAGTAAATATAACGAACTTGACTGGAATTCGAACTCGGCTCTACGATTTCTCATTTCCAGCCGATACCTATAACACCACAAGGCATATGCTAATCTAGCATTGTGCTTAAATTCATAAAATCTAGGTATGATATGCCTATGATAATACCGAATTCCATTTCTTTTTTACTATAAAAACGATCTTTGCCGTTCATGTCATTAGGAGAAATCAAAAGCGATTTCACTGAGGTGGAGCCAGTGTGATTTATATTGAAATATCTTGGGAAACTGTTCAATATATTTTCTTCAAATTCTTCAATAAAAGCCCGTTATGCCAGATTAGTCTGCTCCTGGCGCCTTGGCGTAGCAGGTCGAAACGATACCCGAATTAAGAGTATCAAATAACGCAGCCATTTTTGTGATCTCAGCCTACTTTTAGGTAACAGAGAAAAAGAATAAGTAAAAAACTATATTGTAATCAACTCGGAAGAAAACGAAGAAACTAGCATATTTCTATTTTACAATGAACAACAAAAAAGAATTAATACACATTAAAAAACAGGAATCCTTAGAGATATACGAACCTGGAAGAAGGACAGTGAAAAAAAAAAGAATAAAATAATTATAATGATTGATGACATATGCTGTGATTATACGCTTAACCAGAACGAAAGCCAAATTGGGTCCTTAGGAATTGGCTTTCATACACCCTTGTGCAAATTAATAATTCCGTTATTATTTCCTTTCGTATTTTCAAAAAAAAACATGACCCAGTTCACATATTCGTATATCCATTCCACGAAGTCGTTCCTTGCAGATTGACCAAAGATTGGATTTAAATAAGTAGAGTTTCCGGGCCAGTCTATATTTCTTTGATTTTCCCACTGGTAAGGCTTGCCAGTGTGTTCGTGCAACTTTACAATTTTCGTAAGCTTCCTTGGAGTAAAGTCCACCACAGACAATAGCCGTAGGACAAGTAATCGACAGTCGAGACAATAGTGTCTGAACGTGAAGAAAATCTGATCCAATCACGGTTGATCCAATATTTTTCAAGACCAAACAAATTTCATCATACATCCCGAAAATAGATCCACATTACTTCACACCACTGCTAATCAATCTGAGGAAAAATATAAATCGATTACACCCTGAAACTCCAGTGGGTCTAAAACTGACCATATGGTGGAAGAAAAAGAAACTAAAGTGGTTGTTTCAATTAATTTGCGATAATGTGTAGAACCGTGAGAACATAGTTAATACAATTTTCATTAGTACTTCCACCATAAAGGATCCATTTGAGATACCTCGGTACGTGCATGATTTTGGGGGTGGGGATGCGTTTCTGATTCTAGACTTTCATAAAAACTTCTTTTTAAAATTCCAGCAGGCTTTAAAAAGTTCAACATCAATGTCAAGTGATGCTTTATAATTCGATAATTACATCACTGGGTTCGTTGGCGTTTACGTTTGGAGACAGACTTTGTAATTAGTCAGTTATGTGCCATACGTGATACACGCTTAGGCGATCATGTATCTTTCGATACATGACTGACGAGGCAGATTTTTTCCGGAAGTATGTTGCCATCCAAGGCTATAGAACCCGTTCTGTCCTGCTGGAGGAAGGGGAAGAAGAGGATTCATACATAATACAAAGGTATTAGCACGTAAGTGAATGTAATGGAATGGACTAGAATTCGAACTCGGCTCTCGGATTTCTCAATCCGATCCGCTATCCATTACTCCACCGTGCCTCACTTTGTTATATTTAGCCGAATGCTGGTGTATATTCTACTTCTGCGAATATCTTCAGCTTAGTTTCAGTCTGGACTGAAATTGTTTTTAGAGAACAGGATGTTTTTTGTTTTGGTTTCGATTGGATGATGTTACTCATGGGTACAATAACAAACAAGAAAGGTCACCCCGCGGCGATGTAATGGTTAGCAAGTTGTCTTGCTAGAACAATTACGACTGAATAGTGAGTTCGATCCTCACTGGGAGCCACATACTTTCGGCCTTGTGCCACATCTAAGCTACGCTTGGAAAATCACAATAACGAACAAGAAATAGTTGAGAAGACCGAAAAGGCTTCAACAGCAGAAGTGCGTAAACACAAGCGGCGATGAAGCAGGAAGACAGTAAGAATATTAAGTCTAAGATTCAAAGTTCTAGATTCAAGTTTGTTCCACGGAGCAATAGCTAAATGGATTCAAGCGTTAGTTCGGGAATCTGGTGATAATTGTGTTCAGTCGCGACTAGTAAACCAGATTAGCAATAACTAAGCAGTACTAAAATGTGAAAGACGAGTTATCTCTGGAGACGGACAAAGGGACGAGAACAGTCGATATCCGTAGATTGAATAAAGTGTTCAACTTGAAATTCCATGAATGTTAACAGGATTAAAAGGCATCTGAAGAGATGATTTTTTTAAAATGCCAAAATCAAAGACATGCAGTTAGGATGAAGATCGCTATGGTAGATCTAAAAGACAACTAAGAATAAAATTAATTAACGACATGATTCTTATTTTAAAAAAAAGGCCACAGATATCGGATATTGTTGAAAATCTCAGTCACATCGTATGACTTGACGGAGCCAGCTCTTTAGCACATGCTCTACAGTGTTGCATGTCATATGGATTCTTTACTCTTGTTTGTTTTTTTTTGTTTTTTTTTTACATGGCTTTTATTTTTGTTGATTAACGATGGAGTAATGGATAGCGGCCGGGATTGTGAAAACGAAGAGTTGAATTTCAGTCGAATCCATTACATTTACTTACGTGTTAACACCTTTGGAAAATGTATTAATTCTTTTCTTCTCCCCCCAGCTATGGGTAAATAGCAGGACAGACTGAGTTCTATAGCCTTGGATAGCAACTGGTCTAGGAGACGGACAACTCTTAATTCAAAACCTGCGGAGGGTCGTTTAGGAACAATATGGCACGAAGTGCACCAAGTCTGTATATTCGAGCTATCAAGAAGTCTGGTTAGTCCTGCACAAAGCCTTCACCACTATAATCAAATCATATGTGCTGGTGTCTGGCTGACAGTTCCTAGGAACTGAGTTGCTGACCATCATACATTATTATTATTATTAGTGTGAATTAAGTAGCCCGTGCCAATAACTATTACCCTTCACCTATTAATTAAATATGAACTACATCAAATTGTGTGCATGCGAATGCACATCAAATGCATTTTATAACATCTGCAGCTGATTTTGATGGTATTCACATTTTTACTGAATTTGTAATTTTTATTGGTAAGCTGGATGTTAGGAGGCACGGTGGAGTAATGGTTAGCAGCTTGGATTATGAAATCGGAGAGTCTAGTTCGAATTCCAGGCGAATTCATTACGTTCACTTACGTGCTAATATGAATCCTTCTTTTCTTCTCCCCACGGGTATATAGCAGAACAGGTCTGGTTCTATAGCCTTGGATAGCAGAAAGAAATGGCAACGTACTGCGGGAAAAAATCTGCCTCGTCAGTCATGTATCGAATGATACAGGATCGTGTATCAAGCATGGCACGTAACTGACTGTGTTAATAGGTTTCAGACTTTTCTTTAATTTTCTTTCTTGATTTTCTTTGATTTTCCTTTCTAGCAACACAAATCACTTGATTTTTTCCTCATTCTCTTTCACCTTCAATTTCCCCCTCTTTTTATATCTTCCTCCTTTTCTGTCACCTTCACTATTTTTTTTATCTCTCTTCAGCCTCTTCACTATGTTTTCCTACCTCCATTCCGTTGCAACTCTTTGTGACTGTTATCATCGGATTGGCTAACCTTTATCACAAATCAAACAACATCTCATTACGAAGTCACATTTTCTCTTTCCGCTATTTTAGTCTCGGATACTGTCATCCGTTCATTTATTCAGTGACACTCATTCTTTTAGAACGTCTCTTTCAAGAGCTGCAAGCGTTTGAGATTTAAACACTTGACGTTTGCCAAAACGCCATCAGAACATAAAAGGAGATTTGTTAGGATCTGTTGTAACCCTCGACCTTTGTGCGAATTCATTTTTGCAAGCATCATTCATTGGACGCCATAATCATCTAGGCGTTTCTTTAAATTTCAAAAGGACAATAACCTTTAATTAAAATCGATAATTGAATTTTGAAATAGAGAAGATTTTCTACAATTAGTTTTATCCACGATTCTTCATTCGATGATTTAGCCACGTCTGATACAAGGATATTCTTGGAGTGTGTTACTGAAATTTTAGTTTAAGCTTTTTATTTAATTTTTCTTGTGTTCGAACAAGCGTTTTCTATTTTGGACACAGAGTGTGTAAAAACTGTCCAAATATTCTGTAATTCCGAGCGCTTACGGCTATGCTTTTAACCATTATGAAGGATGATTTTATGTTTACAATTTAATTGGGTGTGTTGGGTGTGTGTATGTTTTTAGAATTATAAGGGGGTTTTATTTTCCGAACACAGCACATTGTGGCCATGTTCGTAATTAATATTAAGTATTGGCTTTTTTATTATTATTAAGGCTTCCATTATTCTTTATTTTTTTTACATGTGGACGAAGTTATTATGTTTGTATTTTTCTACTAGTTTCAGAAATCACTCACCTTTGTAGATACACATCATTTGTTTTCGGTTTGATACGCTTGTTTACTGCTTGTAATAAATGTAAATGAGCCCCGGAAAGAGCTGAGTTTCTGGTGAGAAAATGAGATACTGCATTGCATCTCGTGATTAACGGCGGCTCTGTAATAGTGTATTAAATAAGTGTAAAATCTCTATTCCTCCTCTGTTCAATTAATTTAAGGTGTTAACATCTGCTGATAAAGCTGAATTCTTCGCCCGTAAATTCTCCTTAAACTCTACACTTGACACATCTGGAATATGCCTCCATATTCTTCCAGTTCCAGAACTAAGTCACTGTTGAGTGATATGCAGAGAACCCCTTTCTAGGATTTCTTCTATCATATCTAACATGGATTCCCATAAAGAAAGTGGACTTGATGCTATCTCTGTAATAGTCTTTAAGAAGCTCTCTCTCGAACAGGCCCCTGTTCTCTCTAAACTATATAATAAATGTTTCGCTGCCTCTTGCTTTTCTGTCCGCTGGAAGACCTCTGTTGTTCCAGTCTTTAAGAAACCAAGTTAACCGTCCGACCCTTCCAACTATCGGCCTATTGGCCGTCTACATCTTTATGGGAAACTTCTAGAGGCCCTAATTAATGCTGAATTGGTTAAGCATCTCATATCGCAGAGCCTTTTTTTCAGACAAGCGATATGGTTTTCGTTTCTCCAGGGCAACTGCTGGCAATAATAGCGGAACAAGTCTATGAAGCTCTAGATAAGAATGGCGAAGCCCGGGCTGTAGATTTGGATATCTCGAAAGTTTTCGACAGGGTAGGGCATACAGGTCTTCTCCACAAATTGAAATGTTACAGTGTCTCCGGACACATTTTTGAACTGGCTCAATATTTCCTATCAAATCGTGAAATGGAAGTTATCCTGAACGGCCACTCGTCTACATCCTTTCGTGTCTCTCAGGTTTACATTCTTTGTTCTAATCTGTTTTTAATTTACATTAATCACCTTTCCTGATGACATCAGCTCTCAACTTTTTATCTATGCTGATGACAACCATTTACACCTGACTCGATTATGAGTCTGATCAGTAGGATAAGGTCAAATTGGCAGCTAATGTCCAAAATGATTATCAATCTCTTGTTAATTGGGGTAAAGGATGGTTCTTAATTTTAAGGCCGCACAAAACTAAACTGCTCTCCATTAGTCACCTGAGATACCACTCTCTGCCTTTCATCAGTATGGCTAATGCTAACCTCCAGGAAAGTGATTTGTTGTGCATTTTCTTGTCAATTCTCGTCTGACACGAAGTGAAAAGACTATATTGAATCCATTGCTAGATCAGCTGCTAAGAAAGTTAGTTCACTGTATTGTGCTAGACAATTTTTCTCTTCAGAATCTATCTTGCATATCTATGTCGACCATTCGTCCATGCTTAGAATATTGTGCTTTCTCGGGCTAATGTTCTCAGCTGACATGAAATAAAAAGACTATATTGAATCCATTGCTAGGTCAGCTGATAAGAAAGTTGATTCACTGTGTTGTGCTAGATAATTTTTCTCTTCAGAATCTATCTTGCATATCTATGTCGACCATTCGTCCATGATTAGAATATTGTGCTTTCTCGAGCTAATGTTCTCAGCTGACATGAAGTGAAACGACTATATTGAATCCATTGCTAGGTCAGCTGCTAAGAAAGTTGATTCACTGTGTCGTGCAAGACAATATTTCTCTCCAGAATCTATCTTACATATCTATGTCGACAATTCGTTCATGCTTAGAATATTGTGCTTTCTTGGGCTAATATTCTCAGCTGAAAGGAAGTGAAACGACTATATTGAATCCATTGCTAGGTCAGCTGCTAAGAAAGGTCGTTCACTGTGTTGTGCTATAACAATTTTTCTCTCCAGAATCTATCTTACATATCTATGTCGACCATTCGTCCATGCTTAGAATATTGTGCTTTCTCGGGCTAATGTTCTCAGCTGACATGAAGTGAAACGACTATATTGAATCCATTGCTAGGTCAGCTGCTAAGAAAGTTGATTCACTGTGTCGTGCGAGACAATATTTCTCTTCAGAATGTCTTCTATATGTCTACCATTTGTCCATACTTAGAATATTGCTATCACATATGTTCCGATGCCCCTGCTATTTACCTTAAGCTCCTTGATAAAATGAAAAGAAGAATCAGCAATATTATTAGTCTTGATCTGGCGTCTCGGCTTCAGTCATTTTCCCAACTCCGTAAGGTTGTGATATGTCCCAGAAAGGGATATATTTGAACGAAGTGGCTATGTGGTTTTGGCTACTATAACCAAGTAGAATATGGTAGCAGTAATCGACTGGTACGTGTCGTAGTCGCAGGTAAGAAGTGTAGATCAATGGCGTAGTCCAATGGGCGTCGTTAAAGACTCTCAGACTAAGGCTGTTTGATTCTGTCGTACCTACACGTCCGTCTGTATTTATGACGGACAACAGCCAATCATATTCCAGTGAGGGGGAACACAGGTGGACGCATATTCCATTATATCAGGTTGCCTCTCTGAACCTTTTCTATAAATACTTTCGGATGAGTTCTTCGCTACCTAGATTTTATGAATTTAAGCACACTACTAAACTGGCGTCTAGATCTCATCAATTTACAATCCAGTTGGCTAGATGTAATTGTATGTTCTCTGCTAAAAGTTTCTTTCCTCGAACTTCTCGCGTGTGGAAAAAGTCTGCAGGCCCAAATCATAACATTCAAATTTTCTCTATTAAATTCGAAAATAGTTTTAATTTTCATTTCTCCTTTTCTTATGATACCTAGATTTTTTGAATTTATGGGTGGCATTAGAGTGGCGTTGAGATCTTGTCAATTTACAGACGAGATGGTAAACCAAATTTCTATGCAACAGTTTTTTCTCGCAATTCTCGCTTGTGGAATCCCCTTTCAGCCAACTTAAATCTCCAGTCGCTATCTGCTGTCCTCTTGATTATTCTCTTTATTCTCGCTCCTTAGTAATGTTTTTTCCACACCCAGTAGCTTCTTGGGGTGAACTCCATTAATATATATATATATATACATTTTGATATATATATATATATATATATATATATATATATATATATATATATATATATATATATATATATATACCCAAAATGGCGGATGGTGAAAGGTTTCCTAAGTGAACGGTTAAAAATGAAATGCAATTTGAGAAAAAATTTCCTTTTTCTTGAAAATTAACCGCGGCCTGATCGAATTTCAAATAAATCTACTTAAAGTTAAACAAACTTGAAATCTTTTAGAACCTTTAAAGTCTTTCATCTGCAAGTAAAATTCCTTGTAAATGACATTACCAAAAATAAATGTTTCGAGAGATTTACGTAACTAATGCAATGTCATTGAATTATTGATAACTGTTTTCACTTTAAAGGAAGGTTAGTGTCAGCCATTTTGATTTTTTGTCCTATTCCCTTTTGTGAAACTTTTAATCATTTCACAAGGTCGCTTATTTCGCTGACTGTTGGGAGTGAGTTCAAGGGTTCAGATAGCGATAGTCAGGTTGAAGTAAGATTAGCCAATAACTATAACAGCCATTCGATTAGTGATCATTCCATACATACTCTTGCTCATGGATTAGCCACTTTGTGGCAGTCCACACTCACCAGTTAGAAGCGGCAAAGGATGATACAAGAAAAGCTCGGAGGCCCTACACCTTGGACAACTTGTTCGGCATTTAGCAAAGGATAATGAAGAAAATTAGAGAAGCGTAATGAAGAAAAAAAAAAAGAAATTTAGAACAATGATAAAATGTAGCCCTAAAAAAGTTGGAAATTATGAGCCGAAAATATACATGTACCCGACTATATATATATATATATATATATATATATATTCATTCCCTGCTTGAGGCAATCGGATGTTTATCCATACTGATGAGCAGTGATACAGCGAAACAGTCTGTGTGTGGATGACAATATATATATATATATATATATATATATATATATATATATATATATATATATATCAATTGTGTATTTAGGCATCAATCCTTCATTTATACATATTTCATTAAGGACGAGAGACAAGGTATTGCGATTAAGCTTTTTATAGACATAGAGTGTGTAGAAACTGTCTAAATATTCTGTAATTCCGAGAGCTTTCGGCTATACTTTTAGCGATTATCAAGGATGATTTTATTTTTTCAATTTAATAGGGTGTATGGGTTGTGTGTATGTTTCTATCGTTGTAGGGATGTTTTATTTTCCGAACACAGTTAGCACATTGTGACCGTGTTTGTAGTTAAGTGTTATTTTTTTCTTTTTATTATTAAGGCTTCCATTTTTTTAATCTTTTTTTACAGATGGGTGAGGTTAATATGTTTCTAT